CATTCAAAACAAGTGTGGAAATGTAAATAACTTCCAAAAGAATAGAAATTGTGGTTACTTTGAGATTAATAATCACTAGAAAATGTCAAGTCTTGTTATACAGTTATATTAAAAGATATGTTATCACATCAGTTTCCTATCTTTTTAAAACAGACTATACTTCTTAATCCCCTTAACACGACCAATTTATTCAATTCTTTTAATTCATTTTTAATTGATGGAGATTCAATAACTAATCACTAAGAGCTAAGAAAGGAAAGAAGAAATAGATGGAAAAAAATATATAAATAACGAAGAAATAACATTGTGCAATTGTAAATTGTACTCTTAGTTGGATAGATCTCAATAACCTCCTCTTACCTTTGACATATATATTTAACAATCTCATTCTTAAACTATGTTTATTAAAACCTCTTCTAAATAAAATTATTTCAAGAACATTATTGAACAAAACATCACATGCAAAGTTAATGAAATATTCGCTAAAGCTTATGTAAAGTCTCTTGATAAAATAAATGTGTAATTGCAAATTATATTACAACCTGGACAAATCATTAAAGGAGGTCAAGTCGTGTTAATTAATAATATGAAATTAATGAGCCAACAGTTCTCTATCTTTCTTTCGTGATATCTTATCAATAAGTGTAGAAATTGTATATGACTTCCAAGTTACTTTAAAATGGATAAATCACTAAGAGAAGTTAAATCGTGTTATACGGTTGTATTAAAAGAGTTTTCCTATAAAATAACACAAAATGAGTGTAGACACCACCACAAAAATCCTAATTTCTCAACCCGCTTAATCCATTTTATTAATTCTATTTTTTAATACCTAATTTCTCAACCTGCTTAATCCCTTTTATTAATTCTTTTTTTTAATACCGAAATTCAATTATTTTCTTTCGTTTTCAATTGATGAGAATTTGATAATTGAAATTCCAGTTGAAATGTCGGGCAAGTTTTCGGATCCTGGAGTCACTAAACCTAGGAACTGCGAGTCAAAAAAGGAAAGGAAAAAGACAAAAAGGGCGATTTATGAGCTTATTCAAATTCGCCGGTGAACATATTCCATTGGATATTTATTTACTTAATTTCACATTAATTGAACCAGCTTCATTATTAACAAAATTCTCTTTGTTATAATACTTGTAAATGCCTTCCATTATCATGAAACTACGTATAATAGACCCTCTTAATTACTAAATAGTATTGTTTTAATGTGTGCTCTAATAAGGATACATACATTGAATACAAAATTCTTTGTCTTTTAATGCCCTTGATATATAAACTAAGAGCATACTGTATGATAATCCTACTGAATAATATTATTGTAAAAACCTTATTGAACAAAAATTACAAGCAAAGATTAGTGGAGTATTTGCTTAAGCTTATTCAAAGTCTCCTAACAAAAACAAGAGTGCAATTGCAAATTGTAGAGCAATTTGGATATATCACAGAGGAAGTCAAGCCCTGTTAATAATTTTATGAATTAATGTGCTAGCAATCCATCTTTTCTTCCGTATTTTTACTAAGTTAGAAATTGTAATATAATTTCAAAAGAAAATGAATTTTGGTTACTTTGAGTAGATAGATAAATCACTAAAGGAGGTCAAGTCAAACTGTATATATAGTTTTATTAAAAAAATGTGTCATCAAATTAGTTCCTTAAAAATGAAACAAAGATAAACATGCATTGAAAATGTATTAACTTCCGATGCAATAAATAAAAAAGTTCAATTATATTTAATAAGTGATATACTAATTTAGACTTAAATTGAAAGAAATAATATAACTTTAACCAATACAGCTGAGATCCTTTGAAAAATCCTTACATACTTTTATAAATTATGTAGTGTTGGAACTTAAATATTGTTGTTAAGCCCTAAAGAGATTTTTTTTAGAAATAAATAATTACAATCACAACATTGTAGAAAAAGTAGATAGTCGTCTAAGGCAGCAAGTCAATACAACAACATAAAAATTTTCCCACATTCAATTTGAATTATAAGATAAGACAAGCTGAAACTAAATAACAGTATTTTAAAGAGAATAATTTTTTTGAAAATAATTAATAAAAGTCTATTTCTAGATTATTCGAAAATGGAGTCTGATTAAGCGAAACTAGGGATTCAAAATTAAAAATATCAGAGTTTCGAATCAAGATTAACAACAACAAAAAAAATCAACAAAAGAAATTTATTAATGAATTAATTGAAGGAAAAATGGGTTTTACATACCAAGTATTCAGTCTGGCTCTTTCTCACGAATCAGGCATATGAAGGATTGAATGAAGGGAGATTTAGGGTTTGACAATGTGATTTGTAACCAAATTTGGCGCGAATGAACTGTATCTTCGTTCTCCATCCCATTTCACGCGCTTTTTTGTGTCTTCCTAAGCGGAGCTCTGCAATTAGAGGAATTAAAAAGAATAATGGAAACTGGGTTTTCACTAGAAGTGAGTTAACTAAGTCGGCTTCGAAAATGGAGTAGGGTTAAGTGAAATAAGGGATTCAAAATTAAGAATATATGAGTTTCGAATCAAGATTAACAGCAACAAAAATCAATCAACGAAACAAATTTATTAATGAATTAATTGAAGGAAAAATGGGTTTTCACATACCAAGTATTCATTCTGGCTCTTTCTCACTAATCAGGCATAAGATGATATGAAGAAATTGAATGAATGGAGATTTAGGGTTTGACAATGTAATTTGCAACCCCTGTTAAGAAATTGTTGAAATATTTTCAAAATTGTTTTATGATACCCCCGTCAAAGTTAATATTTTTTTTAAAATTTATTTCATCATCTGTATTTGTATGAAATATCAATTTTATCCTCCTTGTCACCCATTTTAACAGCTCCGAGCTCCAACACCAACAGTCGGGGGTGAGGGTATATTTTATAGTTTTTGACGTTGGTGGAGGCTGTGTATTACACTTTTTAGTTTCAGGGGTGTATATGGCACAGACCCTTTTTTGAAAGACGATAAAGAACGTTTTCTCACTGATTAGTAACTATGAACCATTGAAGTCCAAAGAAAGTGATGGTTTGAGATTAATTGATTTGGCTCTCTTCATCGATTTCCAATTCATTATATTAGAATGAATTGAGAGTTATAAAATGAGCATTCTTTCCTTCTCCCACTAACCACAATGATTAAATCAGTACACTACTACTTCAAATTCTCAAGTATCTTTCCATACTCCAAGAACACAAAAACACTATGAAATACATGATTTATGCGAAAAATATAAGAAAGTAAAACTGTCGTCTTGTAAAGATTTACACGACGATGTTGCAACGGTAACCCAAAGCATAAAACCTAAATATGTTCTTTAAAAGATGATCAAATGTACATCATGCATCAAAAATTGATTTAATTACAAACTTAACTTCCTTTTGAGTAGAAAAGCTATTTATATTTACAATTTCTCAAGACGCGTGCATGTGACTGCTTCAAAAATTTTCAGTAGCTTAAAGGATGCATATTATTTTTTTAACAACAATGTCCACAGGTACCTCTGATGGGGGAAACAAAGTTTGGATGGCAAGGACTTTCTAGAGATTTTTGGTCTTGTAGACCTTTTTCCAGTATAAGATTAGGCAGGCTCGCGAGGACGAGTGACGCAAATAGAACTCAGAGCTCTAAGTTGTTGGAAGTACTCCCCCAACGCAAGCAAGCCTTGAGCTGCTTGGTGAGTTGTTAGGATACGAGACGTCTGGTGTAGCGTATCCTGGCAAAGATGGTCAGCCTGTTTGGACAAGAAGTAGAAGAAATGAAAATTTGACTCACTAGAAAGTTTCTCAATTTAAATCAGATGTGCTGATAAAGAACTAATTGACAGATCAGAAAATGGATTACTGAAAGATATTGAAAGTAGAGACATCATGCAACAGAAACATCAGCTATTCTTACTTGGTTCACAAAGACGACTAGAGCTTCCAATTTCTCCATTGCACTAGGTATCTGTGGGATGTAACCTCCTTCTACTCGTTGACTAGCAGCTACAGTTTTAGCAAGAGTTGATTGCAATTTCTCCATGCCTTGAGACAGAGCATCTTCCGTTTGTTGACATGACTGTCTTAGGTTACTAACTTCCATATATTGTGATCGGTCAAGGTGTCAAGATGAAGAACAAGAACCTGTTATCAATGTCAGTTTACGAACTAGCGTTATTCTAGCTGTGGTGAAAGACCTTAGATAACAATTCGATTAAGAAATATGCGAAAGAGCAATTTTTACACATATATATAGTAAATTACGGAATGTGTCCAAAACTATGGTTACTCCATTTATTATCCATAAATACCTTCAATGGAGCAAGTTAGTTCACTTATTAGATAAATTGAAATATGAATAACCTTAAGAAGCTCAGAAGGTCGAAATCCTCCAATCCAAAAGAAAAAAACGTTCAGTTGCTATCTTCCACATGCCGGACATTACATAGAAAACATCGGCTTTTGCAACAATAGATTTCATGAGGAAAAGTTCAAAATAGTGGTTCATGCCACCCTCCACTAGTACGTGAAGCTCTATATCACTAATATGGGCCTGCAAAGCAGATCTCAGCTCACAAGTTTGCCTATTTTGCTCTTCAACCCAGTGTCCACACTCATATACAAAAAGAGCCATATTAGCCACAACCTATGGGTCAAATTGGTCAATTGTGAGAATGAATGCACTGAATAAAGTGAAGTCAAAGGCAGTGTGTAATACATTAAGTTATGTGCCAATTCTTGGCTTTGTGCAGATATAGACTATTTTAAAGTAATTTCTGAATCAATCATGGAGAATATGATCAATTTGAAAATAGTTGTAATTCAAGAAAGCCAGAGAAAACAACAGAATAGTTCAAAAGTCCTAGCGAACTAATACAAAACCCACCTTCATTGCATTAATACATGAACCACTTTTTAGGAGTGTAATATTTCAAAAGTTTCAGCCAATTAGGCAAACATAAAGCAACAATAATTTCAGAGAAGAGACAAGTATCAAAGACTAAGAAGTAGAACAAGAGTTTGTGAGTCTGCAGAAAATAAAAGATGCAAATAAACATGTACAATAGCTTATCAATATTCATATAAATTAGAATCAGAGGGAAACAATCAAACTTACCTTATCAATAGGTTTACTTGCTTCTTGTTCTTACTTGTTAGAAGGCGGGAACGTTCCATGCGAAGTATCCTCTGACTGAAAAGATGAACAAAAGAATTATTTAGCTTGGGAATCCAAATAAGTTGTCCTCTACCATCATACCAAGTAGAGTAAATGTTAATAGTTCGCCCCTGAGTGTCTAGTTTTGTATCCACCTCCACAATCATATGTGTTGATGTATTCGGATTGCCATTACTTTTAAAGTTTTCCCCGCATGTGCCAAGTTGATGAATGGGCTCATAAATTCCCAATCTACTTGGGGTGACAAACTGGGTGGACGGAGAGTTCATGCCCTTCGAACTTATGATGGGATGCAGCTCCATTAGCTTTAGACATAAACACAAATACAAGATACAAGCATAAAGACAACAAGATGCCAAATTGATATAAGGGGTATTTGAGCGTGAGGTCTAAATTTGAATTAAACAAAATCAGGCTAACAAGATATCAAATTGACAGAGTTCCAGTGTGTAACAACCGAAGTCATGGAAACCTTAAAAACTTGCTCTACTTACGCATTAGCAACAGAGTCTAAGAGTGAAGTTCTAACATAATTTGATTCAGATCTGAGAAGCATTATTTTTTGCAGATGAAATCAAATTATTTATAGGGATGCAAAAAGACAAGAGCAGACGGACTATGTGGCAGTCTAGCAATGAAAGTCAAATATCTCAATGCACACGCACACCACAATCTACAATACACACTTCACCAGAGGAGTTGGAGGCACAAATAGAGAAAGAAAAAGGCCTTAATTTACTGCAAAATTTTGATTTTGCTTAACCTACAAATGAAAACATCACCATTCACCAGAGAAGCTAATCAAACCCTGTTATTTGCTTTATAACGCCTTTTTTTTTTCCCTTGAATTGCTATGGGTTTATTTGTTTTATTATTTTGGATATGATTTTGAGAATAATATTGGGTAGTTGAATAGGGGAGTATTACGAGATAAAATTTAAAAATTTACAAAAAAAACCCCCTAGGTTTGCTAATTTAAATTTTTGTAAAATGACAAAAACACCCCCACCCATCCACAGTGCTAGATTTCGGTCACTATCGCCAGAATCTGGCCGAAAAATGACGATACGACACAGACCGGTCGGTTATGGTGAGTAGGACGTTGATATGGCCTTTTTCGATCAAATCCATGGTAGATCTAACCGGAAAATGCCAGATCTAGGTCAGATCTGGCTGTCCACGGCCTCAAAAGTCCAGATCCGGCCAGATCACCAATCTGACTTTTTCCGGCCAGGTCCACTATGGACCTAGTCGGAAAATGCTAGATGATTACTAGCTAGTTCTGGTAGTTTGTGGGCCATTATGACAGATTTTTTTTGTAAATCTGGTAATTGTATAAAAAATACCGAGGAAATGAGGAAAAAACCCCACAACTCTGATACATTGGATAGGCCCAGGGAGAAAAACAAAGTAAAAGCCTAAAAGCTTAGGATGTACAATCCTTTACACCAGGCTTAACCAAAATAATTAAAAAAAAAAAAAAAAAAAGTTGGAACAATAGGAAACAACAATCTACAAAGCAAAAACAAGCCCAAACAAGGCCAGAACAGACCAACCTTTTTCAACTTAAAAGCAGAAGCCCAAAGTCTCTCTATTCCTATTAGCAGCAAACAAATGATCAATTAAACCATTAAAGGCTTCTTCCTCAAGACCTCTTATTGCCTTTGACATTATTATTATTGACAACCTCGTTCTTAAACTATGTTTTAATAAAACCTCTTATTAAATAAAATTATTGTAGGTACATTATTGAACAAATAATCGCATGCAAAGATCAATGGAATATTCACTAAAGCTTATTCAAAGTCTCCTCATAAAAACCAGTGTATAATTACAAATTATATTGCAACCTGGATAGATCGTTAAAGGAGGACAAGTCGTGTTAATGGATTTTATAAAATTGATGAGCTAACAATTCACCCATCTTTTCTTTCTTATATATCTTATCAAAAAGTATGGAAATTATAATATAACTTTTAAAAGAATAAAAATTTTGATTACTTTAAAATGAGTAAATCACTAAGAGATGTCAAACCGTATTATATGGTTGTATTAAAAAGAGCTATCATAAAAGAAATACACGATCTTGTGATCCTATACAAAAAGCCAAGCAATAGAGGAATGCCGTAAAACTCTGTCCATCTCTCCCAACGGTAGCCAAAAAAACAACAAAAAGATCTGCACAAAGGGCAGCCTCGCTTCCCACAGCAAAGCCACAACCGAGATTGCAACTCTTCCATTGTCTATGCATTGTTTAATGTCACCATGGTGACACCTGCTAGCTTCTCCCAACCTAGGCACAAGATTTGGCATATATATCCTGAAGAACAGGCAAACAAGAAACTTCAGAAATGATAGACTAAAAAGCCTTGAATTTCCTACTGAAATTTATAATTATAAATGATTTATATTATAAATGTAATTTTTTCCAATATATTTTGAACTTTAATATTATAAATTTTATTTAAATTAGTTATTATATTATTATGAAATTTGACTATAATTATTTTGTTCAATCCGGTATTGTCCCAAACATAATACAATATTAAATCATAATGAGACATGTTCTAAGTTTTACAACTGATTAATTGTAAAAACGATTTTTATCACTTTTTAAATCTCACAGTGATTTTTCTTATTAAATGAAATTTCTAAGAGTCAAGTAACTCTAAAAATTACCATTTTCAAAGATCCAACAGTGATATTGGGATTAAAGTTGTAAACCCTTGGAGATTTCCCTTATGTACCTAAAGGCTAAAGTTCCTGAGTATCGGAAATAACTCTAAACCCCTGGGTATCAGCAATTAGCAGTTTATATGATCGGGCTTAGTATTAACGATATATGGAAAAACAAATCTAATTATGCAAACATGTAGACAAAAGCAGCCTTAGAAGGGAAAAGTTCAACAATAAACCAGTGTTTCAAAAACAACAGAACTCGTAAATAATAGCAAGCTTACAAAAGTATTCAAGAGCAATCAACATACAAATCACAGCCCAAAAAACCAAACATCAGAAACCTCATCATAGCACTATCCCTAATGTAACACATAATTAAATAGTAGTTCGGCAAAATAAACCAATTCCAGGGAAGAAAATCCAGAGAACATCGAGATGACCGTCAAGGGAATATGTGTCCACACGCCAAGTTTGCAGCCAAATCTTAGCATGCCGGCCCGTGATCAAGCTAGACTGAAAGCACAATGAATAGCATTAAAAAAGAGGCACTTCAACAATTTGGAAGAGAACTGCAGGGCATGAATATAAATTGCAGAAAGTAAGCCGAGTTTTGAAGGCAAGATAAAATAAGCTTTATCCAAAAACCATTGAACTATTATGCAGGGCGCCACAACTATGTAGAAACTATAGAGAAAGTTCCAGATTTGGCATATCCTGAAGATCAGCTTGGGAATTGAAGTAAATAGTCTTGAATTTCCTCTGGAGGGTTTCCTATCGAAGCAAAAAGAACCTGTTGTGCTGAATTTGTACAAGCATCAGCCATCATTTTACCCTGGAGGGACATGGTGAAATAAAAGGAATCCTATCAACTTGTTCCGATCTACAATAATAAGCTCATGGGTTTGGACTTGGAACACCTTTTCTGTAAGAAGATTTCAACCTACAAGTCTCACTCAGATGAGTCCACGGTTTTTTAAGAAATCATATTCTAACTGTAAAACAAGGAAATTTACATTAGTAATAGCAATAAAACATAACCATAGCACTACGTTATTTCTGCAAAGTGAATAAATAATGAAAGATCATTCCACACATTATGACTTGAGATCATTGTATATCATTTTTTCTTTAATAAAAAGCCATGATTACGCAAGGCTTATCGGAGCATAGAAGTATCTAACACTAGAAACAGTGTAGAATAAAAAGACTTGACAAGTGTGATTTTAATAATAAATAAACTGAATTGAATGTTTGAGTCCACTTACCTTATAAAAGAACAAATCATGAGAAAGATAATTACTATTTACCAGCATATGCGTAGAGGCCATAAAACAAATACAAGCCTTGTAATATATTTATGAAATATATTTAATCCAACTTACTGTAATTGTTATATTGGTCGCTTGTACATTTCTGAATGCGGGACCAGCTATCTAAATTTCATATTGTTAATACAGGAGAGATAGAGGTGAGATTGAAACTGAAACTGATCAGAAGCCTGGGAAAGTAAGTTTAATTGAAGTGATGGGTTTTGATGAATCAGTTGATTAATGGTGCTCCGTTTTGGTTTTAGTTGCGTTAGTTAATGAAGTGCTGCGTTTTGTAAATATAATTATATAAAGCTGAAGAAGAAGTGCAAAACGCAACTGCGTGAAAGCCTTTCGAATCCAACGTGGACTCATTTTTAGTATAAAACAATTCAAGATCAGTTCTAGAAATTCTTTTTTCTCTCAAGTTTCTCTGTTTGTTTCGCAGGAAAGTGTTATAACTTTCAGGATTTTTTCTACATTCGATCCTAGGATTCTCACACCCCGGGCTCTTTCTCACAACTTAGGCATGTCAAGAAATGGAACAAATGGAAATTTAAACAACCAAATTTGGCGCCAATAAACAATGTCTCCACTCCATTTCCCGCGCTTTTCATTGCCTCTCTCACCACTAAACGACACACGAGCCTTCCGATTAGAGTAAAAATTGATTGTTGATGTTGTGTGATGCAGATTTTCTTGTTGATGTTTTGGACAATGCAATTTCAAAGTTGAGGACAATATCCAAATGACAGCAGCTTACAAGATAGAAACCAATAAACTTCATTTCACAGCCCAGAAAACGCGCCTGCAACATTTCATAGTAACCATGTTGAAGCACAACAGAGGTCTGGCTGTAAAATTATATAGCGTAGCCTTCATCTAACTTATCTATTAAATAGTTTGGTGACATAATCTGAAATCCAGAGAATTTCAGAATGACATCCTCACAATATATCCCACATGCTAGCTAAAAGCTTATCATTAGAATGCGCACCAGAGATCTAGCCAGACTGAAATAATCTGTAAATTTAGCAATTCTGAACAATGCAGGTCGCATTGTCTTCAATTGTTGGCCAGCATGAACTTCCTTCATTACTTGGTTAGCTCCTCGTCTGAGTATAAATCCTGTTACCCTCGCCCATAAAGAACATCTCCTTCTAAGATGAAGGGTTTGGCGTGCTTTTGCAGATTTTTTCTTTCCTTTCAGTCATCTGGGAGGGTTGCAAATTGACCAGCATCAGAACGAGGCAATTCCACAATTCAGGAATTGAATGATAATTCATAATCTTCTGTTGGACACTTTTCTCCAAAGGCATATAGGGTAAAAAGTTGAAAAGCTTTATAACCCTTTCATCTCATGCATGTATCCACTGTTTGAGTACATGTTAATCTCTTGCCGTGATGATGATTATTCGACTTTCTGAATCCAAGTAGTCAAACACTCCCATTAGATATTCTATTTTCTGATTGTGTCACATCATCAAACACAAGGAGAACTTTCTTGCGGCCAAGTCATTCTCTTTGAAGGTGACCAATATTGGGATGTATATGACCAAAAGTGCATAATTAATCTTTGGCACACGTCATTTAGTCCCCCACTTCTGTGATTTTTTCTCAATATTCTCAACGAATTAGGAAGCTTCAAACTGTCTAGAGATTTTGTTGAATATAGCCGCAGCAAGAGTTTCTTACCTACACCCCCAATGCCCAAAATTCACAGCTTGCAAAACCAGCCATATGTAAAAAAATTTCAATCCGTCAATTGTTGAATCTAGTCCAACTAAGTTTTTGGTGTGAATTACCGAGATCATCATTCAATCTCTTCAAAATACCTTCAACAATATCCTTTACAAGTAATGACATAATTTTAATTCATAGAACTGAATTCCTGATGATGTTACTTTGTAATGATCAAGAGAAGGGTACTGCTTGTTCCATCCTAGGATATGAAACATTTATGGCTACAGGGTATTAAGTACCTCTCTTTTTTCTTCCTCTTATATGTTCATTGACTAAGCATTCTAAAAATATAGGTTGGCACTATAAAGTACTGCCATCTATGAATTATGATGCTAGATATTTTCTTGTTCTTAAAAAAATAGACAAAAATTCAATTTTCAGTGGCACCAATTTCGGATTCAAACATAATTGGTGATCACTTTACATATCCTTAATATATATTCATTAGTTTGAAGGAAGCTCAATCACAATGCAAAAATACTTATAAACTATGATACTCATGGGATATGTCAACTGATCATAATATCAGTGCTCAAATTCAAAAGAAACGAAAATATTGTTCTTGGATAAATGAATTGATCAGGAATTAGCTATCAAACAGCATGATATTTAGAAAGAAGTGGATAAGTTAGGTTAGCCTCATCTTGAAAGAACTTATACATAGACTATGGTTATAAAATATAATCTAAAAATTATTTAAGGTAAATATGTATCACCTAAAAGTTAAAAATTACAAATTCTCACTAAACTTGATTATTTTTTCATGTCTCTCTCTCTTTCTCTAAACATCTCTCCAAACCCTTAATGGCAAAGAAGCTATCACTCATTTTAACTTCAAAATGATGAATACACTTGACATAAACAAACATACATTTTGATAAAAAATCATCTTTTCATCTAAAACAAAATCACAGTGTACATGTTTTCAAAAGCAGATTAATAAAGTTAATCGTAAACAAAGATGTTGAAAAGAAAAACACAAAAAAGAAAAATAAAACTTACAGCTGAAAGTAAAATTACTACATAAAAGACATTGATAACAAATTAACAGTTACCTAACGACTTTTGCATCAAAGCCAGATATGTTGCCTGCTTCCTTCAAAGTAGTCCTCCATCTCTGCAACGTCTCTGAATCATCCATAAAACAGTCTTTAAGCTGAGCAAATCCTTCCCTAAAAGTGCCATTTTGTTTCCTTACATATGATGGATCTATGTTATAGAAGACTAGCATTACAATCTGACAGTTCTTGTTCTTGCTTTCAAGAACCTTTTCAGGTTCTTGAGACAACATCTAAAAGAAGCATACCCTTTAGAGAAAAAAAAAACGATAACCGAAATCTTTGAATGTGTTCAATTGCATTCAAAAGAGATGGAGAAATTTGTTCTCCTATGATCAATTCATCATCAATGAAAGTTTTAATCCTTTTCTACAACGCTTCGTACAGAGTGCTGGTAAAGTTATTAAGGGTGTCCTTGACTTGTAGACTAAGGAAAACATCATACTCTAGTAGTAGTGGAAACTAAGACACTTCAAATTAACAAAACATAGAGGGTTAAACTAAAACACCTAATAGAGTAATTTACTTTATGTTACACTATATCTATGTCTTTGCATTGATTGCTGCTTATTTCTACTCAAATCCATACAATTGATCCTTAAAATCCATCAATCGTTCTTTTAAAAAATCAATTTGCCACCACCCTGGAACCATATCCCACCCACTAGCAGCCCACCATAATTCATACTGGGTCAGTTTCAGTGGAACCAATATTAGCAACAGCAAAAATCAATCAAAAATAAATAAAGAAATAATTGATTGAAGGCAATAATAGTGTCATGCCTGAAAAAATTAGGCTAACGTGGCGCCCAGCCAGCGCGAGTGATCAAACCTCGAAAAGATCCCACTGACATTCTAGCACAGTCGCGTCACGTAATGATGCGAGCAGCACACTCTTGTCAATACAGTGGGTGCGCGCCAGACTAAAGAAAGGATAGAGGACGTCCACGTGTCCAATCCATGCAACAAATGGCGTGAATCACTCTAGAAGGTGGGTAATGTGATATAAAGAAGGATTTGCACAGATAATCCCACCCACTTACAGATCCAGTAATGATAATCTTAATCCATCCCACTATAAATTGGGAGCTCTCCTCTCATTTAAGGGGATGGGCTAATCTCTCTCTCTCACTTGTAAAATCACTTGTAAAGTCACTTCCCTGACCACGACCAGGTCGCTATCATTAATAGACATCAGTGGACGTAGGATTTGCTTCCTTAAAGCATCCAAACCACTTTAAAACTCTCCCCACCGCATTTACTCATTATTTTTCTCACATTCGCGTGTGTCTTCTGGGCCAACCCAGCATTTCACACGTGCGTTTTGTTGGTGTAAAAATCACGCATCAACAGTATGGCGTGAGAATGAGGGCCTGATTTAGTGTTCATCCTTCATCAAGAGAATCTCTAACTCACGGGTCCCACAACAACAAATGGCTCACTGATTTGAACATGAGAAAATCAACCAGAATCCTGAGGGGATCCCTCAAACGCAAGAGGATACCTCCTCCAGGGTACCCTCGGCCCCGCTGACTATGGCGGGGAACATCCCATCAAGTTCACAACTTGACCCTACCATTCTAAGCTACTTGGAGAGGTTCAATAATACTATCCAAACGATCACGCAGAGATTGGACCGTTTGGACCAGGACGTACTGTCCAAGTCGAATGAGGTAGTGCAACCACCAAAAACGCCTGCAGGTCACGCGAAAGCATGGAAAAAGGCGGTAGCCTATGCCGCAAGCACTGCAGCACGTCAAAGAAAGGGTAAGCAAGTGGCGAATGGACCTAAAAGCTTAAAAAACCCGGCGAACACCGACCACACCCCTGGTAGAATACCTGTGGCGTTAAGACTCAGTGAAAGGGTGCAACCCGAGCCATCCCACGCCACGTTGTGTGAAAACCCCCACAAAAGTATTGGGCGAGGCAATTCTCATTACCGCCAAAACGATCTTGATCGTCGTGCGGGAAGCTACCACACTCTGCGGGTCGATTTGCACCACCGCGGAGGTCGTGAAAGTTCCCCGAATAATGCAACACCATCACATGGCTCTAGCCAGCATGTGTCAAGATTGGCCGAGACTGCCGACAGAGGCGTAGGGGAATCCGACCTACGGTCATTCCTCAATCGTAACCGTGAGGGTTGCACCCGCGTTGCGGAAAGTAATCCCCAGGTAGCGCCGCTACCTCAAATCGATGAGCTGCAGCGAGCTCTTGATCAACTGAAAGCTCAGCAAAATGAGTAAGGGCAGGTCGCATCATCGTCTCCCTTTTCTCTAGCGGTGTTAGCCACCCCACTACCATCAAGATTTAGGATGCCCGACATGCGAGCATTCGATGGAAATTCTGATCCGCAGGATCATTTATATGAATTCAATGACCTGATGGAGCTTCACCAGGTCTCGGATTTGGCGAAGTGTTGTTGTTTGGTAGTGACCTTAACCTCTCATGCCAAACGGTGGCTTAGGTCGCTCCCAGCGGGATCGATCAACTCGTGGCCTCAAATAAGCACGACGTTCCTGAGGCACTTCTAAGCGAACAGAAAGTTCTCAATGCCTTTGAGTTATCTCAGCAATATAAGGCAAGAGAGGGATGAGTCCTTCCAATCATATATAGACCGATTCCACAGAGAACTCAACAAAGTAGCTCACACTCCCGAAGAGTTTGTTCGGACTCTTATCATTGCAGGAGTTCGTCCACAGACCAACCTGTGGAAAGAGCTTCAGGCTGAGGACGATGTTTCCCTCACCCATTTTTACAACCTTGTGGAGAAATATCTCCGTATTGAAAACTCTGTAGCGGCACTCCATCGCCGCGACCACGACCGTGGCACCTCAGGCAGTGCGCCTAGTCTGGAAGGAAGAATGAGAGTTGATCACAGATGGGCTCTTGACCATCAGCGAAAAAGGAAGAAGCCGCGCTATGAGCCCAAAAAGTCCTATGCCCCAATTCCTCGTCGCGATCGCGACAGGAACCAACATACTCCCTTGAATGCATCTGTATTGGCTATTCTTGACAAATTGGAAGAAGCCAACCTGCTCAGAGAACCTAAGCCCATGAAAAATCCCCTATCGGCCAGGAACAGTAAGAAATATTGTCTCTATCATCGGGATAATGGGCACCATACCGATGAATGCCGAGCTTTCAAGCAAGTGATCGAAAACCTCATCAAGCAAGGGCATTTCAAGGAGTATATTGATGAATCTGCTCCCTCGCAAGAGAAAAATCAGGGGGAGCCAAGTAAGAAGCGCCGTGATCAGAAAGGAGTGTGCAACCTCAATTTAATCTTTGGGGGACCCCACTTCGCGGGGAACTCGAGAGGCGCCCAAGAAAGGTACGCCCGCGAAGCTCATCATGACCCCATCAGAGTGATGAGCACATCGCAACGGCCACAAAAAGTCCGCAATGAGGAGAAAATTTCTTTCTCTAAAAAAGATGCAGCACGACTGCACCATCCCCACGATGACGCCCTTCTGATCACACCCCTAATAGGGTGCCAAAATATCCACAGAATGTTAGTGGATAATGGAAGTGCTGTGAACATCCTGTTCGCTGCGAATTTCAAAAGAATGAATCTGAACGAGGCCAACTTGAAGCATGCCTCGTTCCCTTTTTATGGCTTCACAGGGGATCACCTGCTCCCAAAGGGAACAATCTCACTCTCAATCACGCTGGGTGACTTCGACGAGGTGACCAAGGTAATTGAATTCTTGGTAGTGGATTGCCCATCCGCCTTTAATGGAATCCTGGGGCGACCTCTGTTGAGACACTTCAAGGTAGTCACTTCAGTGTATCATCTGAAGATGAAGTTCCCTACCCTGATGAGGATCGGGGAAGTTAGCGGGTTTTAGCGCGTATCTCACGACTGCTATGTGAAAGCAGTACAGATGACGTGCAAAGGCAAAGGCACCTCGCGCGGCAATCATAGACAAACAATGGCAATCAGCCGGATCGAGCCGCAGCCTGGCCTAGCCGCGAATAATATAAATCCTCGCATTCAAGACTTCCCTTCCAGTGGGCCAGTTGAGGACCTGACCGAAGTACTAATCGACCAGAGCGAACCAAGCAGGGTGTTAAGGATTGGTAAAAATCTCAATCCCAAGCTCGCTACCGAACTGACCAGCTTCCTTAAGGAAAACATCGATGTGTTCGCATGGTCGCACGCAAATATGGTATGGATCAGCCCGAAGGTTATTTGCCATGCATTAAATATCAACAGTGAAGCCAAGCCAGTTCGCCAAAAGAGGAGAGCGATGGATCCGAAGTGGTATGCCACCTTGAAGCTTGAGGTGGATAACCTCCTCCGAAATGGATCCATCCGAGAAGCACTCTATCCAACTTAGGTTATAAACCCGGTCCTAGTAAAGAAGCCTAACGAAAAATGACATACCTGCATCGACTTCACCGACCTCAACAAAGCATGTCCGAAGGATAGTTTTCCCTTGCTAATGATCGACCAGCTCGTGGATGCCACCTCGGGGCACGAGCTGTTGAGTTTTATGGATGCTTACTCGGGATACAATCAGATTCTGATGTATGCACCGGACGAAGAGCATACATCTTTCGTTACAAATCGGGGGTTGTACTGCTACAAAGTTATGCCCTTCGGCCTCAAGAACGCTGGTGCAGCTTACCAGCGACTGGTTAACTGAATGTTCTCCGAACAGATAGGCAGATCGATGAAAGTCTACGTGGACGACATGCTGGTCAAGTCGCATATCGCTTCAGATCACGTGGCGCATCTTGCTGAGATGTTCGACATCCTCTGCTAGTATCGAATGAAGCTGAACCCCTCAAATGTTCATTTGGAGTATCCTCAGGGAAGTTCCTAGGGTACATGGTTAACCAGCGGGGAATTGAGATCAACCCTGAAAAAATCCAAGCTCTCCTCGGTATGAAGAGCCTGACCAATAGAAAGCAGGTCATGAGCCTGATTGGGCATATAGTAGCGCTAAGTCGTTTCATATCGAGGCTAACAGATTGCTGCTTGCCATTCTTCAATGTACTCAAGGCCAATAAGAAGTTCAAATGGACTCTCGAGTGCGAACAAGCGTTCCAAAGAATAAAGGAACACCTTGGGTAGCCACCACTTCCATCCAAACCTCTCCTACAAGAGATCCTCCTTTTGCACCTGTCCGTCTCACAGTTCGCGGTCAGTGCAGCCTTAGTTTGGGAAGAGAATATAACGCAATGGCAAGTATACTACACGAGCAAGCGTCTGTTAGACACCGAA